TCACAGCCCCTCCATCGGAATCTCCTCTGCCATTTAGAATACAAAAAATACCAGGATAGACGATGGTGGCTTCCAGTTGTCCCCAATGTGAGACCACAGGCTCTGGTCAACCCCACACAGGGCCAGGTGTGCTGCGCCTAGGAGCAAGCTCCTGCCCGCTCAGCCGGGCTTACGCATCTGCTCAGATGGCTTCACTCCAACCAGCTCAGGTAGGATCAGTGGTTTACAAGTCTGGACACTACCATAGTACCCCGCAAACCACGAAAGCAAAACTGTTCTCTTCCAGCACCACCGTTGGGTGACTAATCATAGAAACAACTTTGTGAACACCCTGGCTTCCTGTCAGACAAATCTCATCTTTTTCCACATGTGGCCCAGTGAATGGCCAGGTGGCCAGGGAAGAAGTGCTGCGAAGCCAGAGCCAGTCTGTTCCACCCAACACCCTTCCTCCTGTTGCAGAGCAGAGCAGAGCAGAGGTGGGCCCTGGGTGTTCCCGCAGTCCAATGGGTCTGCACAATGGTGCGGAGGTCATAGCAGGCCATCACAGTGGGGGAAACAAGTGGTTCAGGGCAGGACTGAATGCCTACTGGCCTTTAAACAACTGTAAGGAACAGCAAGGTGAGGAGAGGAGAGAGGATGGGACAGAAGCAGCCCCTAGCAACATGCTGGTTCATTGGGATGCTCTATGTGAAGATGCGGCACGCAGGGAGGACAGAGGACAGGGTGCATGGGAGGAGGAGGCCAGGCAGGCACAGTGAGGTGGCAGTGAGTAGGAACTTGAAGGAGCTGCAGAGATGTCTGCGCCCACCGGTACCTAAGGGACCAGTGTAGCAGGCAGGAAGAACGCAGGCCCTGGTGCTGGGAGGAGGCAAAACAGTGATGTAAGAGAAGGGGCGAAGCCGGCGATGGGGGCTCAGGCCTGTAAATCTTAGCTACTGAGGATGCTGAAATCAGGGGATCATGGTTCAAAGTCAGCCTAGGCAGCAAAGTCTGAGAGACTCCATTTCCAATTAACCAGCAAAATGCTTGATTGGAGATGTGGCTGAAGTAGCAGAGCACCAGCCATAAGCAAGAAAGTTGAATGAAAGTAGGAAGCCTGAGTGTACACACACACACACACACACACACACGAGCATGTGCACGAAAGGGACAGCATAGACCAGATACAATTAAGGTGTAGTCAAGGAGACACAAGGCAAAGGATGCCACAACACTCAATCCTGAGAAACCCGAATCCTGACTGGCACTGAGGGGAGAAAGATTTTCTTCGAAGAACTATCATAGAAAGTGGGAGGGGCGGGCTGGGAAGGTGGCTCAGTGGTACAGCACTTGCCTTGCATGCTCAAGGCCCTTGGTTCAATTCCTCAGCACCACATAAGCAAAAAGAAAAAAGCCAGAAGTGGCACTGTAGCTCAAGTGGTAGAGCACTAGCCTTGAGCTGAAGAGCTGAGGGACAGCGCCCAGGCCCAGAGTTCAGGCCCCATGACCGGACCAAACCCCCCCCAAAAAAGTAGGAGGGGCTCAAACAAAGCTAGGTCCCAGGTTTTGCTGCGAAGTGGAGACCACAGTAACAAGACGTGGGACAGAAGCCTCCCCGGGACCCACACGCATCAGGAGATAGCCGCAAAGCAGAGGCATGTCAGAAAGGAAAAACATCCAAAGACAGAAGGCACAGGGTAGGAGAAGGGGTTTGGGTTAGGAGGGGAGGGCAGATTCTCAGCACAGGTTTCAAAAGCAGGTTCTGTTATATCAAGTGCGTTCTCATATTTGCTGACCATCCTTGACCTCTACCCAGCGGGGGAGAAAGCAGACAGCTGGCCCCCTCTGTCTAGTGGGCACAGGAGCAAAGTTAGATGTACAAAACCCCTCCTATGAGCCCTGACACCTCCCTTTCTCAGGTGAGAGGCAAGGGAACAAACATCTGGTTTCTCAGGACCAGTGCTACTTGGGTGGAAGCTGGGACCGACTCCCCTGCAATATTTGCCAAAGCCAAAGAGCCCCAAACTGTTAACATGTTATAATTAACACTTCAGGGCATAACGCACCTGCCAAAGAGAGCGGGGAGGGGCGCGGGGAGCCATGTGCTATGCTAGAGATCGAATGCGTGGGAAAGCACTCCCTCCGCCCCAGGCTACAGCACCAATTTTTTTAGAAGCTAATTTTGGTCTTTGTTTAAAAAGAAACATAAAACACTTCACACATCTATTTTTAACGTGTAAGACTGAAAATACCATTCCATAAATACGTCTGTCTCTCTGCTCATGGCTCACGCATCTTCTTGCTTGCTGGGGATGTCCCTTGTCATCCATCCTCCCTGCTCTTGGCAGCCCCCCAGGGAGCCCTGTCAAACCCACCCATCCATGCACCATGGCCACCTCTGCCCTGGAAGGCGAGGCCTGCTGAGGCCGCTGTCTGGCACGCCAGTCAGCGCAGCCTGGGCCTCCGAGCATGGGCGATGGGTATCATTCTGCTTCTTAGCTTCCCAGCGCCATCTCACCACATCTGCGGTGAGCGTGTCCTGACTGTGCCATCATCCTGGGGCTTCATCCGGGCCACTCACCACACCTGACAGCAGCTAGAAATCACCTTCTCCAAAATGTGCTAAAACTGGGTTTCCAAACCAGTAAACGTCCAATTCTATATGCTATAGATAAAATCACAATATACGCTTCAGGCAGGTGAATTTTGTGGTATGCAAATTTATGTCTCAATAAAACTGCTCAAAAAAAAAAAATCAAGCCAGGCACTGGAGGCTCACACCTGTAACCCTAGTTACTCAGGAGGCTGATGTCTAAGGATTGCAGTTCTAAGCCAGCCTGGACAGGAAAGGTTGTGAGACTCTCATCTCCAACAAACTACTCAGAAAAAGGTGGAAGTGGCAATGTGGCCCAAATGGTAGAGCACTATCTTTGAGCACAAGGAGGCCCCAAGTTCAAGCAAGCAAGCAGGAATGGGGTGGGGGGAGGGAGGGAGGGGAAAGAAGAAGGAAGAACAGAAAAGAAGAGAAAAGAAAAGATCAGCACCGCTGGGCGCCAGTACCAGTGGCTCACGCCAGTAATCCTAGCTACTCTGGAGGCTGAGATCTAAGGATCGAGGTTCAAAGCCAG